TTTGTTAATATAATTGTTATTATTAATTAAAATAATCATCAAATTAGGATGACTTTGTTTGAATAATAAAATTGATTCTCATACCTGACGATAATTATTTTCAATATTTCCAAACAAAAAACAAAAAAAAAAACAAAAAAAAACGAAATCAAAAAACGATCGATCAAATATAAAATTTGGCGTTTAATTTGTTTCTAACAAATGTGAATTATGATAGAAAAATGTAAGATAAGTTGTTCCTTTGAAAATGAACATGTACATTACAATGTTTGAATGTAATTCCTTTCTTTTTATAAGAAGACTTCTTCTATTTATAGTATTTCAAAGAGTTACAAGCAAGTGACATTTAACATTTTTTTCTTATGCTAAATAATACTTGATCATACTCAATTACTTCAAAGTAATCACAAATACGTGATCATACATACACGACATACATACATACATATGTACAAATATAGTCATAAAACGATTAATGTAATTCATTTGATCTTCGTTCTCATGCTAAGAATATCTCATTGTGCATTTATTTTTTATTGTTTTTTTTTTTTTCAATCAGGAATAAACTGGTAAACACACGATACAAATCAGGTTTCCTACTGATTACAACATACACAATTTTATTTTATTTTTATTTTGTATTATTTACTAAGATAAAAATGTAAACATTGATTTTATAATACTTGTTGTACAATTAGAAAATAAGCACGGAAAGAGTAAGAAAGAAAATTAAAATAATTATTACACATAAATATATATATATATTTTTTTTTGTAATTACCCATACCTATTAAGGATTATACAAATAATATTCATATGCAATTTGGGATTGGAATAATGTAAAAAAAATTTGTAAAATTTTATTCAATACTCGATACTGTTTTACTTCTCTTTTTTTTTTTTTATATTTATATTTATTATTACTATTATTCTTATACTTATTACATATTTTATATATATATTTTTATATTATACGAACAAACAGATTCTGATTGAATTTCTAACATAATTGCATATTATTAATATTTTTATTATTATCAACTTTATATTAAATTTGGATTTTTATGTGCATTTTCAAACATACATATAAAATAATAATAATTATAATAATTATAGCAACAACATATGATAATATTAAGTATATTTAATTGATAATATACTTTTATATATTTATATATATATATATATGTATATAAGAAGAAATATATAGAACAATATATAAATATATATATATAGAAAATATTGATTGATCTGTTATGGTATCACAACCTGACATTTTCCAGTAGAATCTCGTTTTTGTCCAGTTGGACAAGGAATGTGTGGTGGATCTATGATAGCAGCTTTTTTATAATAACTCGCATCAATCCTTGGTTCCAATGGTGGAGCATCACTATCCTTAGATCCTCCTAATACTGCATTTATCAGCATAATTGCCATAAGACTGCTTAACAAGAGTTTCATTCTATTGAAAAGAAAAGAAAAAAATAAAACAAAATATAAGAAACAAATTATAATATTTTCATTTTTTATTATTATTTATTCTTCTTCAACTTGATTATTATTCTAATACTTCGTATTATTAATTCTGATACTTGAAATAATTGAATTACGAATATTAATAACAAATAAATTGTTTTATCTGCAGCATACCTTTTTAATCTTCCACTTGTTTTATTTTGCAATTTTTTCTTCTTATCTTCTTCAACGTCAAATTTGACGAATTGCAATGGAATTTGATTAATAATTAGAGGAATTTTTTATTAACAAAATATCGAAACACGAATACAAATGCAATAATTGCAAAATACAAATAGTACAAAAGTATTATACTCATTGAATAATAATTCCTGATTGATTCGTTATTTATACTCCGTTTTTTTTCAATTATTTTCTTCGAAGGGTCACGTGATATCTAATAAACTTTTCAATCAATATTATTGCATTATCATAAAATATTTATGTGCGATAAATAATACTTATATTAGATTTGATTTTTAATCGTCTAACAGCACACACACACACACACACACACACACACACACAGAAATACACTCAGGTGTGTATTTACATTTTATCAATTCGAATTAACGTTTGTTAATCAAGTGTAACGTTTTTAAATTTAATAATCATAAAAATCAAATAAAATGAAACAAAAGAAAAAAATAAATAAATATCGTATTTATTCCAAGGATAATTTTAAAGATCAAAATTTTTATTAAGATTTGTTTTTTTTTGTTTTTTTTTTTTTTTTTTTTTTTTTTTTTTTTTTTTAAAGCAGATTTCTTCCAGAGAGATATGAATGAAATTTGTTTCTTTTTTTTTATTTTCCTTTTTTCTAAAAATAATCTTTCAATATAAACTTTGCATATAAATTGATATGGAATAATATTAAAAAAAAAAAAAAAGAAAAAAAAAGAAGGAAGAAAAAAAAATATGTTAGGTTGATTTTAAATGTGAATTAATAAAACGTGTGTATCATTTTATGGTAATAAAAGTATTCAAGTGTAGTATGTTAACCGGTTTTGTTCGAATAATTATATATACGATATTTTTCCTATATCTCGTAATAATAAATGTTAGGTATACTAATTATCATAAGAATGATTTTTACAATACTTGTAAATAATGTGTGTTGTGTGAAAACACGTTTTCCTGGTTTATAAATACGATCATGGTCGAGAGGAGAATATCATAAGGATTACGTATTTCACGATCTCAGCATTACGTATATAACAAGTATAACTTTTTATAATATTATTGAAAAAATAAAAGAAAAATAATCATTAAAATTTCTCATCATTTTACAATCAATTAACGTAAGTACAGTGATGTGATGTGATGAACAAATAAAAATTAAAAAAGTCAAATTGAAAGAAGTGAAAATTCAATGTAAATTTGTTACGTGAGATACAATTTGATATTATTTGTGTTTTTTCTTAGATAATAAATAAAAAAAAAAAAAATTAAAAAAACAAGAAAATTTAATTGGATTGAATTGTATAAAAAGAAAAAAATAAGAAAAAACAAATATTCAACATGCGTTTCTTATTAAATATTAAAACAATGTTGATTTGCATCATGATTTGTTTTTTAACGATTGGTGCTATTCCTTCTAATAATACAAAAGATAAAGATATACGTACAACACCTAAACCTAATATAATTGGGGGACCACCAAGACCTTGTCCATCTGGACAAAAATCTGACGCATTTGGTGTATGTCGTGGACAGACATAATTTTTTGGAAAAATTCTAAAATCATTATGTATAATATTATAATTATAGATATTATTTTATTATATTTGATATAATATTAATATAAAAAAATTAATAAAATATATATATATATATAT